TTAAAATGGAGAATTGCAAGTCAACTGTCGTACCATTTTCTGCAGATGAAAAGCTAACAAAGTTTGATGAAGCTGAGAAAGTAAATACAAGTTTTTACAGAAGTTTAATTGGAAAATTCATTTCTTTGATTGCTACCAGGCCAGATTTGATGTTCTCAGCTAGTTATTTATCAAGATTTATGAATTTACCTAGTCAAAAGTACCTTGGAGCAGTAAAAAAGATGCTGAGGTATTTAAAAGGAACTACTGGTTATGGTATTTGATAATCAAGAGAAGAAAGTGGTGCATTGCAAGGGTATTCTGATAGTGGTTGGGCAAGAAATTTAGATGATTGCAAGAATATTTTAGGATTTTTTTTTTTTCATTTGGTTTAGGTGCTTTTGCTTGGAATTCAAAGAAGCAGGAGATGGTAGTTCAGTCCACTACTGAGGCTAAATATATAGCAGCAGCTGCAAGAGCAAACCAAGGTGTATGAGTCAGAAAAATTTTAAATGAACTTAATATGGTCCAGGAGGATCCTATTGTTATTTATGTAGATAATAAATCTACCATTGCAATTGTAAATCACCCGGTTCAGCATGGAAGAACAAAATATATTAAAGTGAAGTATCATTTTCTTCATGAAGCTGAGAAAGATGGTGAAGTTCATCTAGTGCATTGCAATTCAAATTATCAAGTTGCTAATATAATGACCAAAGCTCTGCTTAAGTGTAAATTTGAGAATTAAACTTAGTTTGTTCAATGGAAAACTCAAGGAGGAGTGTTGAAGATTGAGTTTTTTTATGGAACAAAGAGTTGATTTTTTTTGTCATTTCAACTCCATATTTTATATTTATTGTTTCTTTGTGGTATTGACAACTTTTGATAACAATTGTCAAATAAGAAAAAAGTTTTATGTTTTTTGTTTAGTTCCATATTTTTTCTCCTTAAATTATGATATGTATAAAAGTTGATAGAATTAGTTAAAATCTATAAACTTTTCTTTTCACTTTGTATATATATATGCATGAAATTAATGAAAAATGTATGTTATTGAACTCTTTCCGTGCAGAAGACAACTAATTTTTCTACAATTTTTCCCTCTTTACTTTCTTCCATATTCTTCCATTTTTTAGAAATTTAATTAACTAATATCTCAACATACGGTGCTCAGGGCTGAGTAAGAGCAATTTACATGTTATCTAAAGTAGATTTGAACTATATTTAAAGCAAATGAGTTCAAAAGTTTCATGGCCTTGTTATAGTCGCCGTGCCGTGCAATATTTTAAGAGGGGCACAAAATTGGATTGGCCTGATGGTGCAGCTGCAAGAGAAAGCATAATATCTCCTCGCAAGCCTCGAGTAGAGAAGAAAAACAATTCTTTCTTCTTCACCTGCAATAAGAGAAAGGAAAAGGTTGAAGGTGGCGTGAGACTAGGATTTCCAGTAGTAGCTCCACAGACTGACAAGCAAGAGAAAACCCGCATGCAACAGGCTCAAGGATGGCATGAAAAAGGGAGATCCAGAAGAAGGGTGCAGGGCTTTTGTTTGCTTGGAGGCCGCCAAATTAGAAAGAAGATAAAAAATGGAAGAGGGAACAACAGCTAGGCTAAGAAGGGAAAGGATGAGGGCTGAATGCAAAAACGTTTCTTTCCTTGTTATCGATGGTGCTCTGTTCGAGGCAGATCAATGAGAAAATCAACAGAACCCGGGAGATTGGAGACAAAGAGATGGAGTCCTGAGCGTGAAAGTGACCTAACTGAAGAAAAGCTTCAAGTTTGCAGACTCCTGTAACTTTCCGAGGCCACTTTCAGTTATAGGAGGGGAAGCGGGGAACAATGCAAGTATATTAGGATAAAAATTTTCAATTATCGACCCCAGCCAACCAAAATGTTGATTTTAATTGACTTAAATTCAAGAATTTCATAAGTGATGATACATAAAAGACATAAACAGGTATATCATGCATGCTTAACTTATATACGATCAAATTGGTTCCTTCAGATGCCAAATCTGAAAAGGGATGCTAGAAGCACTCATTTGAAGAAGCGTTAAGAATCCAGTTATAGTACTTATCTCACACCCATTATATTTGCTTCAACATCATAGTAAACAAACAAAAGAAGAAACATATATCAATTGAATACAGCTCTTTTAGGATCACCATACAATAAAAGGATCTGGAAAAAGGAAATGATTCTCAATGCCTTTCACTCGCTGTACAGTAACAAGAATTCCTGTCATTTGAAAAACACTTGTTGCCTTCTTTTCATGGTTGCTCCAGCTTAATGTTTGGTTAATAATGATTTTATACTGAGTAACCAGATGATCTTCTCAAATCTCTTGTAAAGAAGGGATGTCTTAGTGCTTCCCTTGCTTTGAGTCGCTCTGTCGGGTCATAACGCAGAAGCCCTTGCAACAGGTCTATCAAATCACCAGCAGAGTGATCAACATGCTGCATTACCAAGTTCTGCAACATACAATTCAAGATATGGCTTACATATCAAGTAATTTTTTCATAAAACCAAGGGTGAGTATGCCAAAAATCCAATATGCAACAAACTTCAATTCTGAAATGCAGATGGTGACAAGTCTTAGAAGATAATAGTTATTTTAAAAAAGGGGGGAAAAAAGTTGGGGGACGATGTATTACTATTTTCCTATAAAAAATTAATGTTTAAGAATAGGGAAAAGAAAGAATAACCTGCAGTAATAGAAAGTAATCGGCAATGTCTAGTTGAATACAAATACAATAAGCAAATGGAACTGGCATGATATAAATAACTACCGGAAGTCGAGGCAATTTCCAAACAGCTCTCATGCTTTCTCTTGAAGTTGCACCATCAGGCCAATCCAATTTTGTGCCCCTCTTGAAATATTTCTCAGCACGGCGACTGTAACAAGGCCAGGAAACTGTTGAACTCATTTGCTTTCGATATGGTTCAAATCTACTTTAGATAACATGTAAATTTCCCTTACTCAGCCCTAAGCACCATGTGTTGCGGTAGTGGCCCTAGAACTTTCTCCATCATGGCAAGATGTTCTAAGTTTTCATGAGTTTGGAAAAGTGCCTCACCCTACTCAAGGAAGATTAAAAGAATGGAAAGGGTATCAATCATAACAGATAAGTCTTAACAAATGCAATATAGTTCCAAACTGAAAAGGTAGCGTTGATGAAAGTGAATACAAATGCAACTTCTAACAGCTGCTTCCAGACTCTACTTACATTCACCAAACTATCATACATCATTCCATTTGAAACTTTCTTTTTAAATTTAACAGGCAATACAATCATGATACCATTCAGAAAGATCATCAGCTATGGAACTTGCTATGTCAAAAATATGGATGGATGAAAGTAAAATGGAGAAATATAAATGGTAATCACTTACGGAGCAAAGTTCAATAAGTATGCAACCCACACTCCATAAATCACAAGGATAATTCCATCCAAGACCTGAGAAAATGTAGCATAAAATATTATCATGCAATATTACATGAAAAAAGTAACTAGCATCATCACCAGGTGATAGCAATTACCCAAGATGACCTCTGGGGCACGATAATGTCTTGTTGATACCACATAACTGTGATCCTGGTGTTCAAATGTTGTACTCCCAAAATCAATGAGCTTAATGGCACTTGACTTGGGCAGATTCTTGAAATAGGAACCATCCTTTGTGGGCCGTGATAGAAACTGGATTTGCAGCATAATTAAAAAAATGAAAAATCAATTTAGTACATCCCCTTGAGCACATAAACTGAAGCTCAATTATGACTACCTTGAATGCAAGAAAATGACTTAAGATTGATAAAATACCTTGTAATCTGGCACTTTGACATATTCAGAGGACACGAGAAGAATATTTTCTGGCTTTAAATCGGTGTGGATTAGACGTAAATCATGCATAACTGTGAACAAACAAAACAAATTAGTAGATTAAAAATGAAGCTAATTATTATCGTAATCATTGAAAACATGATTCTCTAAACTTTTTGTTGAAAATAAAAATAAAAAAGGGGAAATTATCATAATTAATTTTTGCTGTCTGAATCTCAACTATATAAAGAGAAGTTGAGCTGCGACTAAACACATCATATAGAAAATGGTGCAAGAATTGTCCACACACATGCTACAGACTCCAAAAGTTGTCTGCCAAGCTCCCGAACAAGATCAATGGGAAATGAACGATAGCTGTTTTTGCGGAGAAAATCATATAAGCTTGGCCCAAGCTTCTCAAACACCTGTCCAAACCATTTAAATTCATCCGCAAGTTTTTTTTTTAACTCACAGAATATAGAGACATGAAGCAATATGCATTGTCCCTTCATATCAATCAAATCATGAATACTTCACAATAAATACTTACAATACAAATATGATTACGATAGTCAAACCAATTCCGTATTTGCACACAACTGCAAAGAATAAAACCACTTACCAAAATATTTCCAACGCAACATTAAATAAAGAAAGATAAAGAAAGTACAGTATGCTTACCGAGTGCCACCAACATCATGCCTGGACAGTCTTTGTAAAACATCAATTTCAATCACGGCAGCTTCACGATACTTGTTTATGGAACGAACAATTTTGATTGCAACTACCTCTTTATTTTCATTGTCAAAACATTCCAAAACTTGCCCAAATGTCCCTGCAGGAATACCATGCACGGGATTACAATGAGAAAGTCATCCCACAAAACTCACTTCTGCTTTGAGTTTAAACAACCATGCATCCTGATAATTTAGATATGGAAATACAAGTAGCAAAGGCATCAATTACGACAAAATAATTACTTCAAAAACCTAATCAACACTGACCTTCACCCATTTTGCCAAGAATCCGGTCTGCATGAAAAGAGGAGGGAAGAAAGGAACAGCAGCAAATTCGTTATTTTCACAGACAACCAATGTAAAGAAAATTATAACAATGAATAAAATACTATATGCAATGCAATTCATAACTTTGACCGCCTACCAAATCCCACAGATTGCAGGGACATGAGGAAGAAAAATGTCTTAAATAAGGCCTTAGCTGTGATATAATATAATGAGTTAGCAACCCAATCAAACACTGAAACACTTGGGATCCCATAAGATGATAGCTCAAAATTCTCAATTGCAAACAAGAAGCTAACACTGTTGTCATCTCCAATGCATGCTTTCAAGCCTAAGCAAATAAAACAAAGTTTAAAGAGGTTATAGAAGAAGCCTCACAACGTGAAGTTAAATTTTCCCCAACGGCAAACACATAATGACCATCTTTATTGTCTGGTCTCCAAGGAGGGGAGACATGCCGAGGAACTCCCCTATAAAACATGTTCGGGTACACATAATTGGAAATCCCTTCATTTTCAAACTCCTGACCGCAATATAATGCTGGTGGAAGGACCTGGAAAGAAAATTCAATGTAAATTGATGCCAAAAATAAGTAAATGCAATCCCACAACAACATTGACAACAATAAATCCTATAAATCCGTAAGTTTCTGGAACGTGATCTACATAGATCAATATTCATATGTAACACCACATAACAATTAATCACAAAATAGCAGCACCTCCTTGGCAAAATTTTGTTAATTCATAAAAGAAATAACTAACTCTCAAAAAATTTTATATATTTTTCATTTATCATATTGAAATATAACAATTCGGCAATTGTTTAAAACGTGAAAGAAATTAAACCATATTAACATAGTCAGAAAGTCAGTAACATTGTTCAAATAACAAAAGATGATGAATTCACCAGGAAATATAATTTTCCACGAAAATATAAACGCGTAGCCGAATATGTATCTTTGTGTGTGTGTGTGTGTGTATTTATAGAGAGAGAGAGAGAGAGAGAGAGATAGATGGGGAGAGTTAAATCAGAACCTTCGGAGGAGAAGGAATTGGAGGGGGCACATCCCATGTCAAGCGAGGTCTCTTTCTTGGGCGTTTGTCCATGTTCTTATGTGGGAACTCCATAATCGTCTGCGTTTCCATTGCTCCGTAATCGAATCCCCTCTTCTTTATATGCAGAATTGGCAGCGCAATGGAAGGAATTCAAGCAATCATGGAATCGACGCGAATCGTATTACCCAAAAGACAAGCAGAAGAGATATGGAATTTGCAAGATTAATCCAAAGGAACAGAGGATAAGATTCGAATATGGAAACCCTAAAGACGATCTGAAAGGGATCTGTAGCTAAAGCTGATGTGATGAGGAGCAGAGATCAGATCAGAGGGTTGACTTAACCCGATATGGCGTTAGGTCTGTAACCAGGGTTAAGGAGATGGGGCCCACATTTTCAAATATTTTGATCATTTGTAATATCTGGGTACCGGTTTTTCGGCGACGCGCACCACAAGAACCATGGGGCTGGGCTTCTCGTCTGATAATGGACCCTGCGCGGCCCAACATAAATTAGTTTTTTTTTTTTAATTAATAATACACTTTCATTTTATAATTATTTTTTATTAAAAAAATTATCAATTTAGTTTCTTTACTCAAAATTGCATTTTAATCTTTTCTAATATAATTTTCTAATTTTTCAATTTTTACAAAATTTTTATGTTTATTTACTAAATTCCACCAATTTCCCCTTTTGAACATTAACGGCATCATTACCAACTATTCTCGAAGGAAGTCATTTCTACCGATTCTTACAAACTACAGGCAGCCATGGCTACAGCCGCCACCTTCTCCGTCTCTCTCGCGCCTCACTCTCGCCGCTTCTCTGTCTCCTCAACCAATCGCCTTAGATCCATTTTGTCCTTTTCTTCTTCTCCTTCTTCACTTCATTTCAGTTCTCTTACCTTAAACTTTACCCTTAAAAACCCTAGCCTTTGCGTCTCTGCATCTGCTATGAGCTTCGAAACTTCTGAGAGAATCTCTACTGCCGCTTTTCTCGACCGCAGGGAAAGTGGATTCCTTCACTTTGTTAAGTACCACGGTCTTGGCAATAACTTCATTTTGGTAAATTTTTCCTTTCTTTTCTGTTTTGTTTCCGAAAACATGTAGCAATTTTGTCAGTACGGCAAAACACTTAAGAATTTTTAAATTTCAGTGATTTCTGAAAAAATGTTGGGGGAGAGAACTTTGATGGGGGATGCTATTATTTCCATATTTTCCTTTTAATGTCTCTTCTTCGTATTCGAAGGAATTTGGGATGCTTAATGTATCCTATTGACTTTCTTTTTTTCTTTTTTTATTGCGCGAGATTGAATAGATTGATAATAGGGACTCTGCAGAACCTAGGATCACACCGGAACAAGCTGTCGAGCTGTGTGATCGGAACTTTGGCGTTGGTGCTGATGGAGTAATTTTCGTCATGCCTGGAATCAATGGCACTGATTATACCATGAGGATATTTAATTCTGATGGTAGCGAACCAGAGGTAATTCCAAATTTCCTGAGTGGAGGATCTTGCAATATTGCAATTGTCCGTTTGGCATGCTTTCTCCATGTTGTAACTGTAGCATATCATGTTGATGCCTTAGTTTTGCTTCCACTATTTTTTGGACCAAAACATGTAGAAAATGTCTTTTGCTTAATTTTTTTTTTTTTCAAAAACTTTGGGATTCATTTGGGGTGAAATGAATTACATGTGTTTACACTTTTGTTTTCTCAAATTTAGTGATGCAATAAAATTCTGTAAAATATTTAAAATATCATGGATGGTTTAAAAAATGTTTTGAAATGAATTAGTCACTGACAAATCAAATGGCATTTTGTTGTTCAATTTGTTCCAAACAACGCCTTAGTTATATAATTTTTTATTTTGATTTCGGTTGACACCTTCATTTAAAATGAACTGCGCATAGCTGTTGTGGTAAGAATTGGTGAGATTTGATTAAAAAGTGCTCTTTTGTTTTGTTTCTTAGATGTGTGGTAATGGAGTGAGATGCTTTGCCAAATTCATTGCTGAGCTTGAAAATCTGCACGGGAGGCAAAGGTATGACAATTAGCTCAATTGCATAATTGTTTAGGTAATTTTCATTTCAAATCATGTTGTTTTAGCTTGATGACATTTAGCAAATATGACCTGTATGTTATTTTATGAGTGCAGCTTTACCGTACACACTGGTGCTGGTCTTATTATACCAGAAATCTTAGATAATGGGAAGGTACGTCGTATAAAGGCGTAATTAATTTGTGCGCAGCTTTTTGTACGGATCTTTTGCATAAAATCTTGATCAAATTTTAAATTTCTAGCCGCCTTTATGTTTGCATATTACATAGTTCGCAAGTTTAACAAATACTATATATTGCAATTTCAGGTTAGGGTTGACATGGGCGAGCCAATACTTAACGCACCAGATGTACCAACAAAGTTACCTGCAAATAAAGATGACTCTGTTGTTAAATCAGAACTAGTTGTAGATGGACTAACCTGGAACGTGACATGTGTTAGTATGGGTAATCCTCACTGCGTGACCTTTGGTACAAAGGGAGATCAAGTATGTACTCTTTGGGGTTAATGAAGCAACTTAATCTTTATCTGAATTTATGCCATATGTGAAATTTGTTTAAGATGTTCTCATTTGCATTAATAGGAATCTTTACAAAGATATCCTCTAAAGTGTAAATAAATATTAATCTAGTCTATATTTTTTAAAAGAAAAAATTTTAATTCTTATATTCTAATATTTTCAGAAGGTTGATGAAAAGTCCCAAAATTTTCATAAACTATACTCCAGTTGTTTTTTAGAAATTTAATGCGAATGGACAAAAAAAATAAAAGCAGAGAATAATTATAAGCAAGACTTTCTTTCTAAAATGTGTTTACAGTCTATTATTCAGTATTAATTGCAACTTTAGCATTAATTACAAACCTTATTTCCTTGAAATTCA